ACTACACTAGTTCTTGACTAAAGAAAGCTCCAAATTACCATCCAGAGAAAAAACTACCTCCTACCTGCCTCTGGACGAACAGGAAACTAAAACTTTATTTATTCTTTACAATAAATTCCATTCCAAACAATATTTCTCTGCTAAAGCAGTCGCCAAGAAAATTTAAATCAAGATCAAGAGTGGAAGGGGTTGTAGGTCTCAGACAAGTTTTCAGCTCTTGGTCAAGAAACAGGCTCAGATAGGAGACTGTAGAGAGTGCCCAAACCTTTTTCTGCCAGGCTTCTTTCTGACTGGCACCACAAGTTTGCTGTTGCACAGGAGTAAGATACAGAGAAGGAACGAAACTGCTAAGTTATCTGCTTTGGACCTCTCTGCACCTGGGAGTAGAGACGAGTGATAAAACTCCAGGAAGCCAGAACTGGCAGAATTGCCAAACTGATCACGCAGTTTCCCAGAGAAGGTGCAGAGGCACAGTGGGGAGTTTGCGAGTAGCTTCTACCCAGTGCGAGAGGACTGGGGAGTGGGGTCCTGGAAGTAGGGACTTGGAGTAGTTTGAAGCACAGCAGATAAGGGAGGGGACTGGTGGTGAAAGCTACAAAGCAGTAGCCAGCAATGTGACCCACCTGCGGGAGAGGCTCTTCCAGGCAGCTACAGTTCAGCGCGGCTGCTGGGCTGCTGAGCTGGCTGGGTCAGGAGGGGAGAGGGAAGTGCTCCGTGCCTCCAGCTCAGTGCTTCGCCTCTCAGCTCTCCGCTCTCTCGCTTATAAGAAGAGAGAGGGGGGAGGGAGGGCCAACTAGATTTCGCAAGAGAAGCGATAGGTGAAGAAAGTGTTTCCAGGAAGAGTTCAAGTCGGGAATCCCGGGCAGCTGAAAGGACTAGAACTTCCTGGCTGCTGCGGTGTCATAGATTGAATTATGCCCCCCCCAAAATCTGTGTATCAGTTTGGCTGGGCCATGATTCCTGGTACTGTGTGATTTTCCTGTATGTTGTTAATCCTGCCTTTATGATGTTAATGAGGGGGGATGGGTGGCAGTTGTGTTAGTAAGGCAGGACTGGATCTACGAGATTGGATTGTATCCTGAGGCAATCTCTTGAGATATAAAAGACAGAAGTGAGCAATGAGACTGGGGGACCTCATACCATCAAGAAAGCAGTGCCAGGAGCAGAGCGCGTCCTTTGGACAGAGGTCCCTGCGCCAAGAAGCTCCTAGTCCTGGGGAACACGGATGAGAAGGCCGACAGAGAGAGAAAGACTTCCACTGGAGCTGACACCCTGAATTTGGACTTTTAGCCTACGTTGACTGTGAGGAAATAAACTTCCCTTCGTTAAAACCATGCACTTGTGGTATTTCTGTTATAGCAGCACTAGATGACTAAGACATGCGGTTACTGCTAGTGCTGCAGATACTGCCGCTGCCCCTGGAAACGGGGTTTTAAGGGGTTTTCCCAGAGCCTTTGGGTTCTGTGCATTAGAGGCAGATTGAGGCATGAAGTTGGGGAGGACCCTTCCTCGAGGCGCCCAAGAGGCCTCTGAGTAGCTGAGAAAACACCACCTGTGCTAGGCTTCTAGGCAATTCTCTTGCCAGTTGGCTAAGTTCTGAGTAAAAGGTGACATTTCCTCCCTCTGCCTGGAAGCCCTGTACTCTTAAGGGGTTCAAAGCTTGGATAATCTTGAGTTTTAGGGGTCTTAATTTAGATAGGTTAAATCATTGAAAAGACATAAACCAAATGAAAGGATGATGAGGATGCCTTATCATTGGAGTCCCTGGGTAATGTAAACTGTTAACACACTCAGCTGCTAACCGAAAAGTTGGAGATTGGAGTCTACCCAGAGGTACTTGGGAAGAAAGGCCTGGCAATTTACTTCAGAAAAATCAGCCATTGAAGACTATGGCGCACAGTTCTACTCTGACACACATGGGGTTACCATGCATTGGAGTTGACTCAGTGACAACTGGTTATATATATGCAATGTGTATGCCTTTCTAGGAGGGGCTCAAAATCCACAGCCGTGGCAGTTTAAGATTTAAAATAACCTATGGGGTGAAGTACCCCTTCCCTGTCATACTTTTCAGTCTAGAACCTAGAATCTTCCCAATCTGTGTCTTACCCAGCCAGCCATCTGGTCTTAAGGTCCATGGTGTGCTTGCCAAGGAGCAGATGCCCAGCTATGGAAGAAGCCTGGCCCCAGCTCTTTTGCCTGGATTGCAACTCTCCCCATAGCATCCTGTGGAGCCAGCTCAGACTCCATGTCTTCCAAGAACTCGTCTCTGAGTCACTAAAAAACCAAAAACCAAACCCACTGCCATCGAGTCGATTCTGACTCATAGCGACCCTGTAAGGGTTTCTGAGGCTGTAAATCTCTACAGAAGCAGAACTGCCACATCTTTCTCCTACGGAGCCACTGGTGGTTTCAGACTGCCAACCTTTTGGTTAGCACTCAATCACTTTAACCACTGTGCCACTCTAAGTCACTAGTTGCAATTAATCTTTTATTTCCCCATACAGTGTAGTTTCTGCTTCTGACCCAGCGGTTAGAACAGTTTGCCTCTCATGACAGTCACTATTGTGTATGTGTTTCTTCCACTGGACTGTAAGCTCTGAAAGTTGACACCCTATCCACTTCAGCCAGGAATTCTCTACCACACTTAGTACTGTGCTTTGCATATAATAAGTTCTCAATATTTACTGCATTCATGAATGAATATATCTACTGCCAATTATTGTATTTTGCTAAAAAGCCATCTGATAGTATTCTTTGGTGATGGAAGAACTAAAAAAGGTATTCATTGATTATATAGCATCTAATTGTCCCAGGTTGAAGACTGATAGGGTGAGAGAAGGGTGTGTACCTGTTGGTGTGTCCCTAGGAGGCCTCAGGATTGGAGAACACAGCTACAGAGGCTTCCTCCCAGTCTAGTATCTGGCCTTAAGCTTTGTGGGAACAGAAACTTGATGCTTAGCACACTGAACTTGAGATAACCAGAAGACTGATTTGTTGGTTGCCACTGGTGTATAAAACAAATACTGTAATTACCAGGCAAGTATATTTTCTGAGGGCTCTAGAAATCTTGACCAGTGGTGTCACTAGGGGGGTACAGACCACACCAGCTGACACTGTCAAGGGCTGTCACCAAAATGACTGTCGATAAAATTTTTGTGCAGCGTTTTAGCAGAAATTTATTATATTTTATAAAAAAATCACTGTAGTTATAATAACAAAAACATTTTTCATAAACCCAGCTTATATGTGTCAATATACTATAAGGCTAGAACTCATTGCTGATTTGCTTATTGAACCTTCTAATGCACTCCAGTCAGAGGTGTCATTATTACACAATTACAGTGATGCTTCGTATCATGTAGTTTCGTCTACACGCGCCATGAGCACACACTGTTGTTGCTGCCGCCAGTGTTTTTATAGTCGCTGATTTTGTCAAATTTTCTGGTTTTTTAGCTGCAATATTGTGGTGATTAGTATTTGTGAACCTAAATAACTTCTTTGAGAATGGAGTAGTAATTAAAGGAAAAGTAGTGAGTGATATATGGGAATTATGATTTATGAGTAACATTGGTACAAAAATCATTACTAAGGATTCTGTATGGTCTAGTATGGGAGGAGGTCCATGGAGGGGATGACACCATGAGTTACCACATTGGGTGACACCAACCCTAGTGACGCCACTGATGCTGGCCATCACATTCTCTCCTTGTAGGCACAGCCCATGGAAATCATTTTTTGCACAGAAGGCTGCACAATAAACAGGAACCCAAAACTATATCCAAGTTAGTTAAATGATTCCAAGTTTTGCTGGCAGCTGGCTAAGAGAGTGATATCCATACATACTGTGTTGACATATATGCCACCAGAAGCAGACAGCCGGGGTCTGTGGGCCAGGTCACTCTGGTTTCTAGGCAGTGCTTGAATCCATTATGAGTTGACATAATGGAGAATCGTATTCTCAAATGTAGCCTCCAACTAATAACAACAGAATCATTGCCTTATATACTTGTCATTATTAGGTGGATGAAAAATTTTAAAACCCGATTTTTATGAGAGGCAGATGTACTTCGGTTATGTAAGCTCTTGCCTTTGCCTAAGGCAACCAATGTCCCAGAAAAGGAAGATTAAATTAGTGGGATATGAAGGATGGAAAAAATTGTCTATATTAGTACTAAACTTAAGAGGTACTTGACTTATTTATCTTGTAGTTTAAAGATTGATTTTTCCTTTGGTCCTAGAAGGGACTCAGAATTCGTAACTCTCATAGTCTTTTCTTAAAGGCTTTCTTAGGGGAAAATTAAGCTTCTGAAGATGCTGTAATCTGAATACCTGAGGATTTGCTCTTGGTAGGATTCATCCTTTACCCCGTAGCGTTATCATCAGAACTTGAGGCACATCTTCCCAGACGTTGAACACCACCAAAGAGTTCCCATTTTGGCATTTTCACCTTTTCTATGCCCCTGAGTATTTCCTGATAACTTCTCACTTGCCAGCTTGCTTTCCCAAATTGCTAGCATGGCAAAACTTAGGAAAAATGATGAAGTAGGCCTAAAGTTGGTGTCCATTAAATGTTATAAAATGATCCAATAAAAATTTGCCTTTCACATCTTTCTCTTTTTCTGTGTCATTTTCCTCCTTTTTAGGACCCCCTTTTTTACTGTTTCAGGTCTTGGCCTCTCCTCCCTCTTCCCCAAGGCCCCTCTTTACAGTGCCCCATACCTTATTAGGGGGTGCGGCTTTCAAATGTGCTGGCCCTATGTCTCATTCCCCCACAGCCCTGGAGGTGACTAACTTGATGGTAAGAACGTGTATAAAAATTTTTAAGGCTTGCTTTTAGATATTTTTGAAATAAAAGAAAATTAAAGGACCTTTGATGATATCACTTCTTAACTCAAAGAAATAAATCTCTAATGGTGGATATTCCAGGCATCCTGGGGGATACTTTTGAGTATGAGTGTAACGAATGTTGTGTCTTTTGCTTGCCCATAATCCAGGACCAGGACTAGGGTGAGGAGAGTGAGGAACCTAGGGCACAAAAACTTGAGGAGGCACTTACTTTCAAGGCTGACCTTGAAGTTACATGAACCTGACAGTGCTCCTTAAATTTTGCTTCTTTGTTGCCTCACTGGCCTCACTCTAGTCCTGGCCTTGCAGCATCATTTTCCCTTCTACTGCCGTATTTTTATGAAAATAATATGCACCTTCTGCGTTTGTTTGCCAGCTGTGCCCTCCCTTGCGAGGCACCCTCATAAGCACTGCCATGCCAATTCTCTTCTACATGTTGCTGTAAAAAAAAAAAAAAAAAAAGCATAGCACACTTAGGAAAATGCCTCATGGAGAGGTGGGGAAGTAGGGAGAGCATAGCAAACAAATGCAGAAGGCACTCCTTACTTGCATAAAAATTTGGTAATCATATCATCATTCTCCTTTACACTCTTGGACAATCTCAAACTTTGTGGTTCAGGTGGAAGTGACAGCACTGCTGAGGGCCAGAAGTAGGCAAGTGACCTAGGCCTGGCCATGAAAGCACACAGCCTTTTGTCCACAGTGACTGGCTCAGGGATGGCATGTGACCTGAGCTGGGCCAATAGATATCTTTCTTGGCACTCTGTTTACAGAGGTTTATTGAGATGCTAGAATGTAAACCTGGGGCACTGGGAAGGGAAAATGTGTCTAAGAAAGAAGCCACTTCAGTGGGTGAGCCAAGTGATGGGATAGGATAGAGTTCTGTAATTATTGGA